TGACAATAAATCAGTCAAAAATCTTTTCACGCTTGTCTTCCTCTGTCTCTCTTTCCACAAATCTTTCCAGTGGTCACAACATGTTCCATTTTTCTCCTTATCTTATAACATGACCCAAAAAAAAAAAAAAAACATGATGACTGTCTCTGTCTAATGTATGTGATAAATTGTCTTTGAGCCCCTGCCTCTTTCGAAAGATCTGGTTAACTCGTCTTTGCTCTCCAGGGAATTCTAAGGATTCTTCTGAAAAACCACATCTCTGAGGCCTCAATATATGCTAATACTATCCTACTAATTGTACATGTGATTCTTGAGGTATAAAATAGCCCTCGTCGATAAAGTGATGATGTCGAGCAAAATGGTGATGATAATGATGCAATATTACAAACATATGCAACATTAACAAGCCCCACCAGAGACAACTCGGTCCTGTATTGCATACCCTTAAAATTAACCACTTAATATGTTGTCTTCAAAAATACTATACTTTGCGTCTTTAAATTCCGGGCCGACTGAAATTTCAGAAAATTTTGACTCAAAAATATTAAAGTTAGAAAATTTCATCTTCTAAAATCTGTATGTAATCTTTAATTTACAACTTTATATATGTTATGATACAATTTTACTGCACTAATTCAGTTGTTTGATAAACAAATTTAGATATATTATCATTGGAAGTCTATTATGAGTTGCTGTGAGGGGAACATAATGAAATGATGTGTGTAATATAAAAGTAGCGATACAAACAAGTCTCATAATTCCCAAAATAACACATGGTAATATGTATGTAGAAACGTTTACAAGTGTGCACAAAAAGTGTTTAAAACGGCTATAAATTGTTTTCCGTAAGATTAAAGTGAAACGTGCAGATTAGAATTATACTACGCTTATTAATTTCACAAAACAATTTTCTTTATCACATATCTATGGAGGATACATATTGTGACATTATGTTAGACACCTCTACACTAAGTAAATATCGCAAACAACATAACTTTGACTCATAATTCCAACATAAGGCGATCCAAACCCGCTGCTGGCTGCGTAGATTTTTTTAGCATTAAAGTTTGTCCCCTGCACGACTGAAGTCTACAGGTTTACAATCTTAACGATGAGAATGCTACATATGCAAATCCCAAAAAGTCCTGCTTAAAATAAGGTTGAATGGAGCCCCTGACAGTAAGTAAATAACACGAAGAACGCATCAGACATGCTGTTAAAGATCTCAGTGTATGGAGTAACACAACAGCAGTGAGCAGAGAACTTCGTGACGACGACAATGATAGTGATGATTATTAGTATAATGTTAAGTAAGGTTCAGAAGAAGAAACAAAAAACATTGGAGATATTAGTCGTTGCTATCAGCTGACTATTTACAAAACAATGGTTTACCTGCGATATCCTATGCTGTAGACAAACAGAAAAACAAACAGAAGATAATGATATTTGTGTGTGTGCGATTGAGACTGTTGTTGGTGTTTTCAACTTCAATTGAAAAGCAATATTGATAAACGACTATCAGAAAACGAATCATGTGTTTGCAGACATAAATATAGGTTATAGCATAAGACATATCTTTTATTACACTTTATTACAAACAATTTGTTACTCTGTATTCTACCTGGCTCTGTTGTTGTTTACATATAGGCTGCGATATCTCGCCTTTCCTCTCAAACATATCCAACTTGAGTAAATCCCTCTGTGTGTGTGTTCCGGGGCACCGTTTGTTGGGGGACAAAACAAGAATAGTTCCATGCCTTCTTAGCAAGCATGTCGTAAGAGTCGACTACACGGGGCTTTTCTTCGAAGGGAGTTTACAGCCAGTGAACGCAAGTTGAGAAAGCAAATCAAATGGAACACGCGCTATAAAATAAATTAGAAATGGTAATATTCTATACAGAATAATATAATAACAGATGTGTAGAAAACGTAGGTTTCTCAAGTAGGCGTACAATACAGAAGGAAGGAACAACAGTATAAATTAAGTAAAGTATACAAGTCACTGAAATTTTTTACTCTAGGGGATTATCAGGCCTGGCTAATGTAGCCTTTTTATCTCTTGGCATTTCATGATATCTATTTTAGGCTGAATCGACTTGGGAAAAAAATTCTTATTAAATGTCATTCTTCTTTCTTCATTTGTCAAAATCTGCTTGTGCCGCTAGGCGTCGCAGTCTATCAGATGATCGGCAACCGAGCCAGGGCGCGCTCAGTCGCTTCATATGTTATGAAGTCTCAAGCTGTCCGTGACTCCTTCAATCCATATTCTTCTTGGTCTTCCTCTGCCTCTTGGTGTTTCGATTTTCATGTTGTATGCTCTTGATGCTGGCATCGTTGGTTCCATTCTCATTAGGTGACCAAACCATTTCATTCTTTACTTCTCGATAAATTTAACGATGGGTATGGTTCCAATAGTTCTTGTAATCACATCGTTTCTCACTCGATCTCTTCTGGTTTTATTCGCAGCCATTCTCAAACATCTCATTTCACAGGTGGTCAGTCTTCTCTTCTCTCGTGTTCTTTTGTTAATGTCCAAGTCTGACATTGATAACCTAATGTCGGTATAAAGATTGTATTTATAATTTGTCATTTTATCTCAGCTGGGACAGCAGGGTGTTTTAAAATTGGGGCAAGCTGGTATGGGACATTGTTGGCTTGTTGGATTCTTGCTTCGATCTCTCTGTCTATTTTACCATTGAATGTAAAGATACTTCCCAAGTATTTAAATTCTTGCACTTGTGCACTATATATATGCTGTGATATTAAATGCCATTACTTACTGTTATTATCTCTCTTTTATTTTTAAAGAGCTCTGTAGGTAAGGAAAGGGCGGTGGGGGAGGGGGTCTTGAGGGTGTGAATTTAGGATAGCATGTCTGGTTCATTCGCCATGATCTTTGCATCTTTTGATTTTAGTATCCGTTTCCTTCGTGTAATCTTGTCTTGATATCAAATTAGCAGAAACTGTAGTTGAGATGTGGAATGTTAAGTCTATCCATGTTCATAAGACTGGGTTGATCCAGGTTTGTCGGTAATTTTATCCGACATCTTCTTTACTTTCACCGACTGTAAAACTCCGGAAAAGTCCTGGTTGTTTGTGAACTTTGGGACTTGAGTGTGGCGCACACATTGCTTTTATGCAATCAGTTAGTTGCAGATACACTTTCACTTTGAAGGAACCGTTGATCCTATCCTATCGTATTAGTCGAGGTTTCGTTTGATTTCACTGCTATCGGGTTTCCCCATACTTGCTCCGTTCCTGTGCTAGTGAAAAGGAAATTAAATGTCCCTCACTGTCCCATTTGAAGAGGTTTCCTTCGCTGATGAATATGTTGAGAGGGGAATCTGAGCGCTATGGATGTGTCCGGAGTGTTGTGAAGATAATCTAACTCATAACTCATTTGAAGAAGTGGTAAACAGACAATTAGTCCCGGAACGATCCCGAAATATGCACACGCAGTAAATGCATATGGCAGTTGCTAGATGCGCCTAGCCAAGCTCCCCGTACGCAACTGTTGACCACTCAGAGGTAAAGATGGTCAGGATCAGTATAAGCCCTCACATGCACCATTACGTTGGGATCAGCATCTCTGCACCCTAGCTGGCTTATGATTCCTGATGTTTTGTTCGTTTTTAAAGACTCTGTTCTAATCATTACGTGCTACTTTTTGCTCTTCTTTTCCTTTCGTTTCGTTGCGTTGTCCAGTCACAGTTTGTGTTGTGTTAAGCTACTGGGCTGACCTGACGGCTGCTATAGTAACAAACAATCTTTACTGAGGGTTGAACAAGAACATCTGTTTAGAAAGTCATATACAAAAATCAATATCCGACTACCGCTAAATTCAATATGGACCCCCCCCCCCCCTTTTCTCCTCACCCCCCCCCCCCCCCGCTTTTTTCCCCACAAGGATTGCTTTTCTGAAATAATGACACCCACTGACTTAATGAGTCCGTGTGCGGGTGATAATCCAACAGGAGCAAAAATGGAAAGCCCGTTCAGTGGTATTACAGTTATATTAAGGCGTGATAGTTGCGTGATAGGCGTGATAGTTGTTTGGAAAAGGGGTATGCTTCTATTATTTATGACCAATTACGAAGCTTCCCAGCGTCACTGGCGTTTATAAATAGAGCTTTACTTCACTTTCGTACTGCTTATTATTAACTGCTCGTCCTTTGAAGCCCTACTCTGGCTCTTGCCAGGGGCCGCAATATAGCCTAGCCATAAATATCTTCTGGGGGATGAACGCGGTTTCTGGGACCTCTTCACTGTGATCCTCACCCACATGGTGGCACATTGTGTGTCGGGTGTTTATCGTTTGTGTGATGTCCTGGTGGGGTAGAAAGTCAGTCAGTCAGACGTACTGCTATTTTTGAGTTCTAACACTCTCCCTAACACATTACTATCCCTAAAGCCTCTTTATGTAAGCAAGATTACCCAGCATTAAAAGTCTATGGTTAGGCACCAGCAAGGAAATCAAAATTATAATTTTGAGAGCATGCATGTTCCCTGCAGCAACATACGGACGTGAGTCGTGGACTATCTCGCAGTCGTTAAAAATGAAAATAGGGGGTTTTGAGCTGAAATGCTATAGAAATATTCTCAGAATATCATGGACAAAGAAGAAAAATACTGACATTTTAAAAGATCTGAACATCAAGGAAGATTGGTTAATAAACAGCATCTTGTCTAGAAAGCTGAACAAGTTTGGTCATATCAAGCACCATGGCAGATTTGGGTGGAAAAACAGCAGAAGGCATGGTACCAGGAAGGAGGGGCAGGGGCCGTCCAATAAGAAGATGGGCACATGATATTAGTGACTTTTTGAATGTGAAAGTTCACGAGGCGGGAATGCTGTCCAGAGACCGAGTTCCCCCCCCCCCCCCCCCCCCCCCTTTCCAGGCAGACCGTGATGAGAGCGACGTTCTGCAAAAAACCTGCTACAAGATGATAAGCACACTCCACTGGTCACATGTCGGAACAGTTTAGCTGTCTCTACTTACCTTGCGTCTATATGGTGAAGTTGTATATTTGTGAATAATATTCGGACCCGCTCTCCTGGTCGGGCAAAAAATCGATATCGACATGCAGAATTTGGCTTATAGTTCTGTGGGTAGTAGGGCGAGAAGAACTTCCCACTGTGGTGGCTACTGTTGCTGTAGAAGTCATAAATACATTTGGTTCCCTCTACTCGGGTCCCTGTTGTGATGTAGTTTCCTGGGGGGGAGATAGGGAATTATAGATTAGGTTTGTAAATCATTTCAGTTAATCTCATTATATATTACTGTAACTGTACAACATCGGATCCTTATTTATTCACTGTCCGGTTGTTCTACTTTTTTGTTTTCATTTGTCACACAGAACTCGCAGTCTTCTTTTTCTTTCTTTGCGTTCACCGGCTGTAAACTCGACTGAAAGGTATGGTTGTTCGCCTATTTCTAGACTGAGTTTTGCGTGCACATCCGTTTTCACAAATCTAGTTTATTTATATGGAGACTAAGGTAAAGGTAAAGTATATTTATATGGAGACTGTTGGTCCCCGACCACTCACGCCCATGTACTTGGACTTCGAAGGAAACATTCCTAATTAGTAGACTCTCACTACATGATTGTTAAAGGGGCAATGGGTCCTTTTCAGGGCTACTTGGTGGCCAGCAATGCTAGGCCATTTTATGTGGCGCAAAAAAACCTAGTCACAATTATAACCTTAAGCTCCCCCATTCGGGGATGCTGGTTGAACGTGATGATGTTATTTTTTTAGCGAAGCAATGGAACGACCAGGGAAAAAAAATGAGGATGGTTACAGCAACATCTGTCACGTAGAGTTGGGGGAGGTGGGGGGCGGGGGGGGGGGGGGTGATAAATAGTGTTGAAAATATCTAATAAGGGTATGATACAAAGCTTGCCAAGTGAATGCCGTTCGTTCCGTTACTATGCTAAAAATAAATTGTCACTTTCAACCAGCATCCCTGACAGAGGAGCTTTAGGTTATAATTATGACTAGATTATGTGCAAAACATAAAATAGCTTAGCATTGCACGCTACCCAGAGCACTGAAAAGGACTCCTACAGTGTTGATGCAATCAAAGGAGACAGACCCCAAGTCGTCTCACGGCAAGCCAATTGGCGATCAAGTCTAGGAGTCAAGGTATCAAGACTTGTAGAGTGACAGGCAATTATTACAAACTGCCGGATCGTCCTTTCCCTGACAGTGTCTCAGTGTACGTGTCTCTCCCAGTGGGTGTGTTGCCGCACACGCGCACGTGTGTGTGTGTGTGTGTGTGTGTGTGTGTGTATGTGTGTATTCTCGTGTGCGTCTCTGTATGTGTGTGATCTAGTGTGTGTGTCTGTGCGCCTTGGTCCATAAATGTCTGTCTGTCTGTCTGTGCGTCTGCATTTGTGTGTACTTTGCGTGTGTATGTATATGTCTGTATGTTTCTATCTCTATATGCGATAGTCTGTTTGTGTCTATGTATGTCTTATTGCAACTCTCCGTTTATAGGTTATGTGTGTGCGTATGTGTGTGTGTCCTTTTGTGTTTCTGTAAGTCTTCGCATCATTGCATATGCGTCTGTCCGTATGTGTATCTATCTGTGTATGTCAATGTAGGTTCTATGAATTATTTGTTGTCTATATTTGTGAGCCTGTCTGTGCGTGTGTTTGTTTGTGTACCTGTATCTGCGTGTTAGCATATGAGTCTTTGTATGTGTATGTCTGAGCATGCACATGTGTGTGTGTGTATGTATGCGTCTGTCTGTGTGATTCTGAATGTATTTGTATTACCTCTGCGCATGTGTTTATGTATACGTTTCTGTCTCATTGTTAGTGTATATTAGTATGCGTGGTGTGTATATGTTTATATTTGAATATATGCGTTTGCCATTCAGGCTTTCTTACGTTTGTATGTTTATTTAATTTAATCCACCGCTATGAGAGTGTCAGCAAGGGTATGTAACCCAAAATGTATGTTATTCTTTCGTTAAACCTGTAATGATTTCCCTTTTCAATAGGCGCGTTTGCGACTAGGGATTTTCATAAACGATCGGCATCTTGACATCCACATTAAACGCGATTTTAATATAATTACTTTGACTCCCGCAGAGACTCAACTGAAAGTGGGTATTACACATTACATGAGCACAGATATTTCGTGTGCAGACACACACCCGTGGATTAAATCACATGTTGCCACCCAACGTAATAAGTAAAATAGAAATGTTGGGTTACATAACCTTGCTGACACTCTCAAAGCAGTGGATGAAATTTAAAAAAAACATACAAACGTACGAAAGCCTGAATGGCAAACACATGAATTCAAATATAAACATATACACAAACATAACAGGAATTAGCTGTGAAATGTCCCAGACAGAACAGAAAATACTTCAAAAGTATACAACCAGCAGACAATAATATTTGTCAAGAATTCTAAGAAATCAAAAAATTTCAACTGAGTGAATGAGAGAGAGAGAGAGAGAGAGAGAGAGAGAGAGAGAGAGTGAGAGTGAGAGAGAGAGAGAGAGAGAGAAAGAGAGAGAGAGACAGAGAGAGAGAGAGAGGCAGACAGAGAGAGAGAGAAAGAGAAAACCCTTTTCCATGCCTTTAGGGGTATTGGGGATGTAGGGCTAGACCACAATTTTAGAAAACAATCACTTGCTTGGTGAAATGGTCAACATCACACAGATCGCCTTTACTTCCTGGGACTTTCACCGGTATCCATTTAAGCTCCAATCAACTTAGCAGCCAAATACATTTTTCAAAAAGTCCAGCTTCGCTCGAATTTAAATTCACGACCTTTGGATCCAAAAGCGAACGTCTAGCCGCTACAGAAAGGTGGCTTCCAGAGAGAGAGGGAGAGAAAGAGAGATAGAGAGAGAGAGAGAGAGAGAGAGAGAGAGAGAGAGAGACAGAGAGAGACAGAGAGAGACAGAGAGACAGAGAGAAGGAAGGAAGGGGAGAGATGGGTTATTAAATATCACAGAAGAGGGGGGGGGGGGGGGGTTTGGACCCTACAAATCAGATGTGCACTGTTACACAGAAATACATTCATAAACAACATAAGGGGAAAAAGCCTAGGCCAAATGGAAATCATCCCCCGCACCAATGCGCACACTACCACAGATTTAATTAAAGCAATAAAACAAAAGAACTTACGCTTATCCAAAAAATGAAAGACTCCTTTAAATCCAGAGTAATTGCCCGCCCTTCCATGGCGGTACTCTGAATGAAACTCCAAGATAAGGCTACGTCCCGAGCTGTAGATTGTGTTCTGTATAGTACTGTAATCACCGCAAAACTCCATGTCATGTTGGCTGTGCTCGTTCACTTCTGGTCTCTCCAGGTTCAAGTAGACACGGATGAAATCTATACAGCGCCTGGACAATATATTTGTGGATGTCAGGAGGTATATAACAGAACGAGGTTTTAGTCACTGGTTTTAGCCTAGATAAATGGCTATCTGTGGAGAGACTGTTCCTAAAGGGACGACTCTCACCTTCCCTACCCCCGCTCCCACCCTTTCTATGAATCTTTGAAACATCGGAAGAACAATCTACCTATGATATTCAGAGCGCCAGGCAAACGGTTTAACCATTTGACCAATTTTGCTAAATTTAAACCACCGCAGAACAGAGGGAATGAAATGGTACAACAGAACCACTAATATGGACCTTCTTGAGAGGAAACAGATTCCAGTGAATCACAAGACGAAGAAAAGACATTGGTTTTGGATAGAACAACTAGAGAAAACCTAAGAAAAATGATATTAGAATGTTTTAACATTGGAACCCACAGGGGCATCAAAGTAAAGGCTGAATTTAAAAAAAATGCTGATTATATTGCTCATGGTTTAGCTCAGAAACAGTTACAATTTAGTAGTAATTATGTTTTATTTTAAACCAGAGGTAAACAACAAATTAATTATTTCAGCCTTGCATATTATTTCTCTGACACATTGTAAGTGTGATTATCCATCGAGCCCCAATAATTCTATAAAATGTAGGTCTAGATAAACATACCTAATAGGTCACGAATGATCCCTTAATGCCTTTGTGATTGCTTACTTTTAAATTAGATAGCTCACTGTGTTGGTTCCGGTGTTTTTGAGGGGGAAAAGGAATAGGTAACACAGTGTCTCTGTCTTTTTCTCCCCCTCCCCCTTTTTATACCCTTTCCCATTTTCCCAAATATGCATGTCAAAATTACTCCCTTGTACACAGCCCTAAAAGTGGTACATACCGACATTAGAAAGTTTTCATATATCTTTAATCGCGTCTGTCTCTGCTTGTCTCTCTCTTTGTCTACATATGGTCTGTGTATTTTGCCCCCTATTTCCCAGCACATTTAACTAGTAATTTGTAACTGCATACATTTTTTACTTTGTTTGTTGGTCTCTCTTTCTGTCTGTATTGTGTTTTTCTGTTTCCCAGCTCAAATGTCTGTGCGATCCTATCATAAATCATATACTGCATGGGAATATTAGAAATCCAATCCCCACTCTCACACACATATCCACCCTCACACCCCACACTCCCAGTATGAATTCCACTTTCCACTTACCCACTCGGGTCTGGCATCTTGAGATCAAATTCAATAAACGTCAGTTCAACAATCTCGGTGGAGTCTCCGATGAATGAGTACAGGATACAATTGATGTTTGGAGGGTAAAACTGCGGGAAGTTAGGGGACGTAAATCTGCCGCTGCTGAGTCCGTAGCTCTGGTAAACAACGCAATCGCAGGCTGAGGGAAAATATTGAAAGAATTCCCTTCATCAACAAAATATTCGATTGTGTGAGTAGTGTATTTGTTAAAAAAAAAAAAAAAAAAATAAACGTGTATTTAAAGCTTATATTAGATATATTCTGCTAGACCAGTGGCTCTTAACCTTCCAAGTGCAACGAGCCTCTAATAAAGTTTCCTCATGTTCTGTCGACCCCCCCCCCCCCCCCCCCCCCCCCCCCCCCCTTTTCCCCCCCTCAAAACAATTATTTTTCCTCAAAACATCAACGAATATGTGTTCTTCGATGGTTTTAGGCGACTCCTGTGAAAGTTTTGTTCCACCAAAACGTCTCGACTGGTAGGTTGAAAACCGCTGTGCTAGATACATATTTGTAAAGACCCGTAATGAATCGATATGGTCCATATCAGTTCAGGGCGGAGGTCAGATGGTTGCCTGTTAGTGTAAAAGTCTTCCAGTCGATAGATTCGAACTGTTTTTCTTCATAGTTCTTCTTCGTTCACCCTTAAAATAAAACATGACAGGTTGCAATGTAAAGCTAGGCAGAGATATCTGCGCCTTTCGGGCAAAACAACACCGATTTTCAACAAATTCCTAAATATTCGCTTTTTACAACTTGCTACAGAGCAGCTGATCTTTTCTTTAGCCCCAAAATTGGGGCTCTGGAGGAGAACCGACATCGAGGCAGTTACTTTTAAAGCTGACCTTAGATCGCAGGTCGACACAATATAAAATATGCACCAGGAAATCCCACAGCTCGTTAAAGCAGCAGTCGTGATATGGAATACCTCACACATCGAGTGGCCATTCCGGGGGTCTCCGTGGCGAAGTGGTCAAACCCTTTGCTTGACGTTCTGAAGGTAGTGGGTTCGTTTCACGGCTGCGGAGATACACCGGGGATCGTCGTCGAGCTATGGAGTGCCTGCCCTGTGAGATGATCTCGGCAGCAGGCTAAATATTCTGAGGAAAGAGACCAAACCTTATCGGATAAAACCCGGCGCAGTGAAGTTGATCGGCTCGACCCTTTGACTTTTAACGAATGGCTATGAGTAGTTAAATATATGTTCTGGACTATGTCTAAGGAAAATGTCATGGGAAGAAAAGTAAACACCATTACCCATCCAGTGTTGACTGATCTAAAAACAATACAACAGAATATGGAGAGAACTACACATGCATAATAAAGCCTTTTAACTCACTTTGCTTTTGTTATATGAAGTAATCTACACTGAACTGACTACAGCGGGAATTTTACACAGCTGGTTGCGTTTTGGGAAATGTCTGCTATAAGTTTCTGATGTTTTTTGGTGCAATTTGGTTAACGAGATGAAGTCGGGAAATTTAATAAACGATATTTATATGACGTATAATTTACTACATTGACCGCTCTGGGAACTGGATATCGCCACAAAAACTAATTTTACACAGAGCAAGAGAAGTTCCATGATAGTTGTCGTTTCAGGAGTGTAGCCACAAATGGGGCATTATTCGTGAATTATTTAGATTTGGCCCCAAGAGAAACGGCCTGTTGCTGTGACTAGCACGTTAAACACTCTGTGAAGTTGTTTCAGTTTACTGATAAATTATCTCTTTACTATGAGTGCGTGTGGTTCTCTGGATTAGTTGTTTATGTGTGAATTCTCTTAGAAACTTTCTTTTTTCTGCGAGCTATTATGAAACTCTTTCTCCGCTGCTTCTGCTTGTTGACGTCGACGTTTGCTGCTGTTACTGCTGCTGCTGCCATTGCCGCTTCCGCTACTGCTGCTTCATCATCCTCTTCTTCGTCTTCTTCTTCTCATTCTTCTTTTTCTTCTTTTTCTTCCGTTTGATTTGAAATTGCATGAATAATACGTTGAAGACTTACCATCTGCAGATATATAAGATGCAAGCAGTGAAATTGAAAATGCCACTGATGATATTCTTCCCTGCCACTGTGTTGAACCATTCACCATCATTTCTCTTGGTCTGCCTCTTCTACGAGTGATCTTTCCAGTCGTCAAGACATTTTCCAGTGCTCCTATTTTCATCACATGACCAAAGAACTTTGTCTCCTTTTTATTGTTGTACATAATTCTGGCAGTTCCCCGTTTACGCAACTTTCTTCTAAAGAACCACATCTCTCGATAGGTGATTAGAACAACATTATAGGCCGCCTTTGCTTCACATAATATTTCCTGGCATACCTTGAAGGCTAGGTCGAATTGGGAGCCGATGTCAGTGATAAAAAATTCTGCTGGATGCGGATTCCAAACAAAGATTTTCAAGTAACCAGTGAATATGAATTGATTGATTGCTGTAATGAATTGATTGTTGTGGTGAACTGATTGCTGTGATGAACTGATTGTTGCGGTGAATTAATTATTGTGGTGAAACATTTTTGTGTGGAGAAATGATTGTTGCGGTGAACTGATTTTTGTGGGCGAATGTTGCGTGAATAGATTTTTGCTGTCAGTTGATTGTTGTAAAGTAACAGGCACAATATAATTATCACACTGTCACTGTTCAACGTTATGTGCGTTAGTTGGTACAAATTGGGATAGTTACTGAGTGTACACAGTTTAACTTACCGTGGTGCTGTAACAAACATAGTGATTAAAAACAGTTTATTAGTAATCAGGTTAAATAATTTGTATCTTCACATTTACCAAAATTGTCCTAAAAGTTATAACAGAAAATATACAATAGTAAACAGTTACAAAGTACATTATTTGCTACTATATTTAACATAATATTATTTGCTACAAAACTGCTACTTATGTTCACTTTTACAGTAATGTACTGGGTATAAATTGTATTGATATATATTTAAATCATCACATTGACTGCTCAGCGGAAATAGCTTATATAATTATATTATTTTTCTGCTTTGCATTCTCTATTAAGAAGATGTTTTATTTGATGACAATCTTTAATGTTGACCAGTTACCTTTAGTAATATGATAAGAACTTTCGTAATTTAAACAATTTTCAGGTGCTGCTGGAAAAGATGAAAGGTCGGAAGACAAGAAGGACGGGGAATGGGGAGAAAAAAAAAACGTTAATTATTATACTCAATCAATATGCATTCAGTGTTACATGTGATGAAAACAAAAAAGCATACTAATACAAACAGCTGAAACTGAGGGATGTTAAACTTCATCAATGCCTCAAAATGAGTGACTAACACACAGTCACACGATGTGCCACCATTCGGATAAGAATCCTCCAGGCGCATATTCTAGATACCCCGTTCAATAGTAAGGACGACGAGATAACCTGAAGTCCTGTCCGGGTGGAGTTTCCAATTAAAAAATATGTTTAAATATATAATTTCTCTCTCTCTCTCTCTCTCTCTCTCTCTCTCTCTCTCTCTCTCTCTCTCTCTATATATATATATATATATATATATATATATATATATATATTATATATATATATATATATATATACATATACATATATGAATATATAAAAAAAATACTGTGTCCCTTATTGGAACGGTTATTTAAGTCACTCAGCTAAAACTGTGTTATTAAAATCTTCGTTATCAAAATCTGAACACAGTAATACATTTGAAACATACTGTTTCATTGCTACACATGTTACATTTTTTATACATAAGTAAAGACAACACTCACTTACAAAAAAAATGTATGTAT